TCATTTTATTTAAATTATTTAGGCTATAAAAGCTGGATTTGTGATACTCGATCTTTCCCAAATTCTTTTTCTATTAGTCCGTATAAAAATTCATTTAATTATTACTTGTTATTCAGTACTTAATTTCTTTATACTCATTAATTACTATTTATTATGATTAATTTCTTATCTATTCCGTTCTCTTATTACATTACTAGTCTTGGATATACGAAAATAATTTAAAAAAACTACACTAATTACGGTTATGCTACTATTTCACTATTGATATTTTTGTTTACATACAAAATAGCCTTAACATATAGAAACTAGTTCAATGCCACATACTACAAGAATAGCTTATTCATTTATCTACATCACATTACTAGCTTTCTATTCATTTGTTCATGGCCTTAAGGATAGCATAAAATAAACCAGCTAAACCTAGCACATATATTATAATACTCAACACTAAGAAGAAGATAGTATGCGGTAGATCGACTTGGAATCCAAAACCCCATCCAATGTATATACAGCGTGTGTATCCCTCGAAAATCGGTTCAACTTGTGAAATGTGTTATGATTACTAATGCTATTCAAATAAACTTCAATTAGTCATTGGAAAATTGGATTGTTTGAAAATTATATCCTTCCTCTTTTTCCTCTTAAATTTAGCCAAGCTCTTTTAAATTTTTTCTTATGAATTTTGAGTTTCCAACTTAAAATTGGGGTCTAATTAACTCGATTTAGGATATCTAAAACGAGGTTAGAAGTGTTTTTGGTGAAATTTGAGTAGAAATTTGGCAAGAGTTTGCCTTGTATTTCTCTAATTTCCTTTTATTTTTTATTTTTTCAGCACTTCTATTTACATGCAATTTTGGTGGACTTGTTGACTTAATCTCCACCCTTAATTTGAATAAATCTTGGCCTTTAATTCAACTTTTAATCCCTTCCTTTCATTTGGCTTAATTTTTACCCTTCTATTCTTCTTTTAATCTAAACCTTCTATCTAGCTTAATTAGAGCCATTAATTTAACTAAAAGTCAAGCTTAATTAAAGCTCCAAATCGGCAGAAGATGGAAGAAAAATAATGAATTTTGGTCCTCCAATTTCTAGAGTTTTCCATTACCTAATCTTTCATAAATTCTCTCCTTTTACCATTAATCACTTTAAACCCTTCCTTTCAAGTTTTTCTAATAAATTTTTAACTCTTAAAGTTCTTACATAATTTAATTTAAAAGTTTAAACTTTTAATTTTATGTAATTAAGTCTCTAGTTTTATGCAATTGAGTCATTAATCCTAAAATTCCATTCCATACCTTCCCAAACTTCAAGTTCTATTTATAATAAATTCAAACATTTCCTAAAAAAATTTAATTATTATTCAAATAATATTTATACACTTATTTAGGTCTTCAAATTAATTATTTAGTGTAAAAATTACACTATTTCCTATAGAAAATTTTCCTTATATATAAAAAAATTCATCTAAATTTATTAAATATTCCTACACATCCTAAATGATTTTTCTATGCCCTTTGAATAAATTTTCTTACACCTTTAAAGCACTTAAATTAATTAATCTACCTTAAAAATACTATTCATGCACAATAAAGTTCAAATAAAACATTCAAAAAATATCAAAAAATTCATCCAACAATATTCAATAATCCAACACCTCTTTAGCAAATATTTTATGCAAACAAAACATTTTTCATGCACATACAACATTCCTAAGATAATTATTTCATACAAAAGATCACTATTCATGCACGGTAAAATCAACAAAATATTCATTGAGCATGGAAAAACTATCTTAACTCGCTTTGTATTCTTTCAGCCCTTTGTAGATTATTCTATGCCCTCAAAGCATTTGTTACATGCCTTTAATATCCTTAATTTTATTAAATAATGCTTTTAAGGGGTACTTGGATGTTACATGACTAGTTTTTAAAAATTTCTAGAAAGTCACCTTGTCATACTTGATCCATCTCTTTATAAAAATTAGGAGGTCACTTTATCATAGTTGATCAATAATATCTCTCTAAGGGCTAAAAGGTCACCTTGTGATACAAACATCATTAAAAAGTATAAAAATGTAATTTAGCTACTCTAATACCCCTTAATGGTTCGTACATTTGGTTTATTTTGCTTTTAAAAATCAAATAATCCTAAGATATTTTTATATTTGATTTTTTTTTCAAAAATCCAATCACTCCAGGATATCCATATATTTGATTGATTGTTGTTGTTTTCCAAAATCATATCACCCCAAAAGGTTCATATATTTGATTTTTTTTTTTTTTTTTTTCAAAACCAAACCACTTAAGAGGTTCATATATTTGATTGTTTTTTTTTCCTAAAATCAAATCACCTTATAACCATAGTATTTTTTTTTCAAAAGCGAGATCACCTATAAGAGGATCTTTCCTCCAATTATGTCATCGTAATATCATAGATGACTAAATTTTTATATAAAACCAATCTTTCTTGTAAATTTAGAAGGTTACTTTGTAATAGTTGACCATTCTTTTTGGTCATCACATCTCTTCTTTACAAGCTTATTAAGTCAAGAAGTATAGAGATTTGTCTTCCTATATTCTTGATACGAAGTATTATAAAAAAAAAAAGATGGTTGTCATCATCTAATTTTTGTCCCATAAAAAAGAATGATAAACAAGCCTCGGTTGGTGAATAGCACGTTGGGGCGTGCACTTGGTCTAGACATGCTAGGCTCAATAAACAACTCACAAATTAAGATAGAAAAAGAACACATAATTGGACTTTGCTTAAAGAAATTTCTATAGATTAGAATTAAGTGGTAACCTCATTACAAAGACACAATATCATGGTGACTATGATCTTTCTTAGTTATATAATCAACTCATTTAGTCGAACTCTTAAAACCAATGTTTTAAATTTTTTCTTAATTTTTCCCTTTTAGAAAATTAAGCGATGGATTCATGTTTCAAACACATTCACAATTTTTATAATTATCAAAAGGTCACTCGTGTGATAAAAATGAAAAAAACTAAACATTAAAGGATGAGATTAAGACAAAAAAGAGTCGAGAGACATTTTAAAGATGAAATCATAAGTAAAGAGATTTATGCAAGCATCAACCTTAGTACTATTCTAATGAACCAACAAGCTTGGCTACGTGCAATATTGGAACAAATGTACCAAAAGACATGGATCCAAATCCATATACAACGTCTTTAAGGAAATCAATTCTACTATATCAAACAAAAAACCATGATAAAATCTAGTAGGATTAGGATGCGACTCTATGTTCATTGGCACTCGAGATGTGTTTATATTTGATGCAATTATATTGTCCAAGACAAGAAACGAGATGACTTGAAATTTGAATTTCTATCCTCTCGCTCACTAAAAAGAAATGATCTAAGTGCTTGATAAATTAGTCAAATATCATCAAATCACATTACATGTAGATGTTAGCTAGTCATTATTGCCTCGTATTACAAGTACGTGGGAGAGTTCCATGTTGATAAAGATATATATTAGAGACAAAATAAAAACTAGGTTTGTTTTTTTATATTTTATAGGCACATGTGATCATCAAGCACTAATTGAGAGAACAACAAATTTATAAAATCACACTCCTTACTTGCTTGCTTACTTGTTTGATAGTTCTTTCACTAATTCTCATATTACCAACTCTACTTAACCTTCGGTTTAAAGCAGTTTCTAACTTTTTTCTCAACCAAATTTATATTCTAGACTAGATTAATTTAGGTTTTTGTATAAAGTAAGATAACGTTTGGTATGAGATTAAAAAAATAATAGTGAATTGTTATAAGAGTAATTATTACAAAAACAATTCTAAGAGTGTAAAAATTGGTTTTTAAAGATGTTTTTGTATTTATAAATTAAAGGGTGAACTCGTTAGTGGAAAGAGAGAGAAAATAATTAAATTATTAGTAATAATTAGTGAGAAACAATTAAAAATTAATTTGATGTGTATTAAAAAAATAGAGACGAGAAAAGAAATAATATTGCTTGGATGGTAATATTTATCATTCAAAAGCTCCAATTTGAAGCTATTAAGTACTAATTAAAGTCCTTAAAAAAAAAAATCAAACAACCTTAAATTTTATTCTTCTAAAATTTAACCTGCTATCAAACACCGTCTAACAAGTAACATCTATAATCTTTCACGAATTAATTGTTTCATATTTTTTTGATTAACTTATAATTCAATTGAAATTAAGTATTTTTTCGGGTAATTTTAAAAGCCACACACTTTGATATCAGTATGGTGTATTCAAATTAAATTTTTTTCTTCAAGGCTGGTACAATTCAAACAATAAAATAAAAAATAAAATTTCATAACCACCATGCCAATCGTTTGAAAGAAAAAAATTATTTAATTTAGACAGCCAATCAAATCAAAGTAAACCCCAAATAGAAGGAACTTTTTTATTCCAAACAAAAAAGACTCCAGTCCGACCCGAGTTGATAGAAAGTAAACAGTAGACAGGTGGCCTCCATAATTCGTCCACACTTCTTTGTTGCCTTGTTAATTAATAATCTATCTAGTGTAAATTGTAACCTAGTATTTGTAGGCTTATTAAACAAGCTACTTAATCCTTCTAGTTTTAAAAGTAATTAATTAATCATTTGATTGTATTTGACTTCCAATTAATTAGGAATGAATTTTCTTTTTAAAAAGAAAGAATTTAAATCCAAAAAAGATAAGAATTTAAGCTAATTGTGAGATTTGTAACATGACTGGTTATGTTTTTTTAGGAACATAAAAAGTTCAAAATTGGGAAAAGATGTGGATTTATTAATTGTTTGTTAATATAAGGTTTTAGTTCTTTGTTTTTCAAAATTTTAGGGACTAAGTTATAATTTCCTCATTAAACTGCATCTGTTTTAACCAAAAAAAGCAGCAGCAGCACCATCATCATCGACACAACCCAAACAGACAGATCTCTCTCTCCATCATTGCTTCTTTCCTTTCTTTTCTCTCCAAAACCAGCCCTACAATCCTCCAAATGACTTCCATTCCGTCGGAGAATGGTGTCGACGGCGACGATGAGCGAGAAGAAGAAGACGATGAAGAAGAAGAGGAAGAAGAAGAAGAGGAGGAACCAAGACTCAAGTACCAAAGAATGGGAGGTAGCATACCTGCCCTTTTATCCAATGATGCGGCATCGTGTATTGCTGTTGCCGAGCGCATGATCGCACTCGGCACTCTCGACGGTACCGTTCACATCCTCGATTTCCTCGGCAACCAGGTCTGACCTCACTCTCCCCCTATCTCTCTATCTCTTTCTATTCAATTCTTTATTAATTTCTCGAATTTCTGCGTTTTAGGTTAAGGAATTTACGGCACATACGGCGGCGGTTAATGATCTTAGCTTTGATATAGAAGGAGAATATATAGGAAGTTGTTCGGATGATGGCACTGTTGTAATTAATAGTCTTTTCACCGACGAGAAGGTTTTGAAGTTCGAATATCATCGGCCGATGAAGGCAATTGCTTTAGACCCTGAATATTCTAGAAAAACATCTAAAAGATTTGTTGCTGGTGGTTTAGCTGGTCAATTGTATTTTAATTCCAAGAAATGGCTAGGCTACCGTGACCAGGTATGGACTAGTATGTCTATGGTGTGCGAGCCTGAGGGTCTAGTTTTTGTTACTGAATGCTGTGAATTTGTGTGTTTCAATTAGGTTTTGCACTCTGGTGAAGGTCCAATACATGCTTTGAAGTGGAGAGCGAGTCTCATTGCGTGGGCTAATGATGCGGGTGTGAAAGTTTATGATGCTGCTAATGATAAAAGAATAACTTTCATTGAAAGACCGCGAGGGAGTCCGCGTCCTGAGCTTTTGCTCCCTCATATAGTTTGGCAGGTTAGTTAAAGCGTTGACCTGTCAGTTAATTGAATAGCTTCAACTGCCCTTTTCTTCATAGTTATTTGGATTTTTGAATCTTGTGGTTTCAAAATTAAACCTTGAAATCTATGGCTTTGCGGCATTCCACCACATTCAGGATGATACTCTCTTGGTTATTGGGTGGGGAACGTCTGTAAAAATAGCATCGATAAGAGCGAATCAGCAAAAGGGAGCCAATGGGACATATGGGCATGTTCCAGTGTCTAGTGTGAACCAGGTGGATATTGTGGCTTCTTTTCAAACCAGCTATTATATTTCAGGAATTGCTCCATTTGGTGATTCTTTGGTTGTTCTAGCTTATATTCCTGTGGAAGAAGATGGAGAGAAGGAATTCAGTAGCACCATATCATCAAGACAGGTATCTTCTCTTTCATACCATGTCGACTTTGTTGAATTATGAACTTTCATCCATCTCTTACTACCTTTTGAAGTTAATCTGTTGCAGATTGTAAATGAATTTTGATAGCTATTTTGTATGAAATTAGGTCTTCACCTGTTTAGTGCCATAACAACAGTAAAAACATCATGGAGGAGTTATGTGCTGCATATGAGTGCATGCATTCCTGAGGTTTTTATTCTAGTCTGGGGTCATTTTATGTTCAAGCTTTTGCAGTTTGTTTTTTAGCATTCAGGTTTTTGCTACATCTTTTTAAACATCCTAAATTCGAAGTTTGGTAGTTTACTTCTTGAAAATGCTAGCAATCTGAGCCATTTTTATGTCATTGAGTTCTGCACTCCCATGGGCTTGAGGGTTCTGCTTTTTTTTGTCTTCTTCCTTTCTTCTTCTGAAAATTACTTGTTTTCAGGATGAGGCATGTGTTTTGTGTTTTTTGTAGAATTTTTAGTTTTTTCTTAATTGGTCTCGTTCTCTTCTGCACCTAATCTTTGGTTTCTGAATGGATTGTTGATAGAGGCATGGTTCTTCTCATTGTGATTTAGCTTCTTTCTGCCAATATGTTTATTTTTGAAAGATGAAAACATGCTTGCAAGTCACTTTTGTGGAAATAGGTAGATACTGCAGCTGCTGAATTATCTATTTTTATCAGGGCAATGCACAGAGACCAGAAGTACGTGTAGTTACATGGAATAATGATGAACTTGCAACAGATGCCCTACCTGTACATGGTTTTGAGCATTACAAGGCAAAGGACTATTCACTTGCTCATGCTCCTTTCTCAGGTTAACATATTGGATTGACTGAAATTCATGGTTTTTTATACCAGAGGACTACATTTAAATAGCTTCAATACCTTTTCATGTGAATGCAGGTAGCAGCTATGCTGGTGGTCAATGGGCTGCTGGCGATGAACCATTATACTATATCGTATCCCCCAAGGATGTGGTGATAGCAAAGCCTAGGTTATTATTGATTCTTTCTCTATTTGGGCTTTTAAATAGAAAGAATTTATTTCTTTGCTTGCATTATGATCTCGTAGGTATTGATGGTTCCAATGGTGTTCTAGATTAATTTTAGAACACCTCTCAGTGCAAAATGATTCTTGCTGTTTTTTTTAAGGATTGGTGGTTTGAACTATATCCTGAATCTCTTCTCTAATGTATCAACAGTATTGTGAGTGCCTAGTTCGTTCATTTTAACTCATTAAACTCACCCAGTGACCCTTCCAAGTTGACACCTTATGACTTGAGAAATTTCAAATCATGAGCTTATGATGGACATCATGTGTTAAGCATCTAAGCTTGCATTTATCAGAACAATCTGAAGTTCTACGTCTCTCTCCAGTTCACCAGCATGGGCATGTGTTTGTTTTTGTATTCTCTTTTGGTTTTTAAGAGAACTAATGTAGTTTTCTCTGTAGGGATGCTGAAGATCATATTGCATGGCTTCTAGAACATGGTTGGCATGAAAAAGCATTAGCAGCAGTTGAAGCAGGTCAGGGTAGGAGCGAACTCATTGATGAGGTATTTTGGCTTAGTTATCTGGTAGACGGCTTTAAAAGATGAAGAGGTTTGCCATGTCTTGTTCAACAAATATAACATAATAAAACTTCTGTTATAATTAAATAATGACAACATTTTGTCTGAACTTGATTGTTCAGAAACTAAATTTTTCCAGGTTCTCTCTCTTTAAGTATACCTTTATGAATTAGCAATTTCTGCTTATAATTTGGTGTTGCTTTTAAAAAATACAGCTCTGTCTCCCCCTCCTCCTCTCTCTTATCAGCACATGAATGATCAAATGAGTTTTGTTTCATTTTTCTTTACGGTTATAAATCTGGTTTTTAAATTTTCTTCTTCATATGCTCGTATATTTCAATATTCACACGTTGCATGATAATACTGAAGCATTCAGTTTATTTTGTGCCTGGTTTCCAAGATTTTAAAGACTGGAAGCTTGATATTGATTGATGCATGCAAAATTGATTAGTAAGCAGTTATCTGGATAATGGTTTCTTCAGTTTGTGTAGTATTTAAAGTCTTAAGCATCATGGTTCCCCTGTCTTACCCACCCAATTTTTTCCATCAGTATTTTCTTTTGGTCATAGCTATGAAGCTTTCATGTAATGATTATCTTCCATTTTAGAGAAAAAAGTATTTGAAGAAGATATCTTCTTGTTAATTTGCCTGTTGTCCTAAGTTGTCCTTTCAGATCCGTGTTATTTTAAACTGAGTAATGGCTTAACTTTTTGTGCTATAAGCACAGGTGGGATCCAGATATCTTGATCATTTGATTGTGGAAAGGAAGTATGCTGAAGCTGCATCTTTGTGTCCCAAATTGTTGCGAGGGTCTGCTTCAGCATGGGAGAGGTAAGAAAAGCTACTATTTTAATATCTCCTTTGCATTCCTTGTTAATAACTACCAGAGGCTTCCTTTTGCAGATGGGTTTTCCATTTTGCTCATTTGCGTCAGCTTCCCGTGTTGGTTCCATACATGCCAACAGAAAACCCAAGACTTCGCGACACTGCTTATGAGGTTAGAGGAATGAAAATGTCTTTGTGCAGTTCCTTTCATAACTTCTCTATTTCAGTAGTTCATGATTGAGGTATCTTGTTTGTTTTCAATGCACAGGTTGCTCTTGTAGCTCTGGCAACAAATCCATCTTTTCATAAAGAACTTTTGTCAACTGTCAAATCTTGGCCACCTGTGATTTATTCTGCGTTGCCTGTTATATCTGCCATAGAACCTCAGCTAAATACTTCTTCGATGACTGATGCACTCAAGGAGGTTGGTCAGAGAACTGGTGTGTACTGTTCGATTTCTGAAATTTGATGGTATATGTAACTAATCACACTCCTTTATATACCAGGCACTAGCGGAGTTATATGTAATTGATGGGCAATATGAGAAAGCCTTTTCACTTTATGCTGATGTAAGTCTTTTGTGGTACACTATGTTCCTGTGAATTTGCACACAAAGAAGGCACTGTTTATGACCGTTTAAACTGATTCGGGAAACAAGGTGCTAGATTAATTCTCTTTGACATATTTTTCTTATTTGTTTTCTTTGTTGGATTTATCTTTCAGCTTATGAAGCCAGATATATATGATTTCATTGAAAGACACAATTTACATGAAGCTATACGTGAAAAGGTATGACTGCAAGATAAGGTGAAATAGTTGTATGTTTGTTGCCTTTTTGTGGTTTCCTACTCTGTTCCTGTTGTTATGTAAGATCAGATTTGTATCTCCATTTGAAATGTTAAGTTTCATCCTAAATTTTCATCTTCAAATACAACTTTTTAGATGTTTGCTCTATGCCTGTAGTTCTGCTGACATTTTGACTCTCTCATGAGCATGTAGTGCAAATTAATTGACCTCAAAGGAGCCTTATTATTGATATTTGGAATCTGAAACTTTATGCTTTCTGCAGATTATTGCAAAAAATTGATGTTTTTTTCTTTTTGCTTTCTAGCTTTTTTGTTATTCAATCTGTTCTTATTTCGTAATTTGATTGGCTCACTGTTAATTCTGTTGCTTGTGCTTGTTCAATTACAGGTTGTCCAACTGATGATGCTTGATTGCAAGCTTGCGGTTCCCTTATTAATCCAGAACAAAGACTTAATTTCTCCACCTGACGTTGTCTCACAACTGTTGACTGCCAGCAACAAGTGTGATTCAAGATATTTCTTACATTTATATCTGCATGCATTATTTGAAGCAAATCCTCATGCTGGAAAGGATTTTCATGATATGCAGGTATGTAGAAGTCTGACTAGTTATTTTGTCACTATTTCTTTTTTTTTTTTTTTTTATCTATAATATGTTAAATTGAACAGTTAGTTCCTTTTCCTTCTGTAAAGGTTTTGGTTTCTTTTACTACTAGTAATAGAAGGTAAGGACATATTGATCATGAATGCTGTGAAACCCGAGTGTCAAAATTGAAGTGACATGAACAGAGACATACATTCACTCTTATTACAGTGATTAATACATCTTGACATGCCATGAAAATGTGTTTTGGATGTCATTGATGCATATGTGCTGTACATACCCCATAGTCACAATATCATTGTTGTCTTAGCTGTTTTATCTGCCAATTTTAATTTACTGGCATCATGATCAAGTCACTCTTGTCTAAAAGGAGCTGCTTGTTCTGCAACTCTGCCTCTTGTTGTTAAGCTTAAGTTTAATACAGGTCATATTTTGTTCTTTCTTATGCTAGAAGATCCATTTTTAATTTTTGAGAGGAACTGTGACAGGGATTTCTCCCCAATCATACATCCTATTCAGATTGCCAACAATATGTTAACGTCACACCCTTTGGTCTTATGTTTTAGCTGCTTGATAGCTCATGTCTAGTTATTGCCTGTGTGTGTGCAATCTGCAATATGTAACGATTGCTGTGACCTTTATTTTTATCGAGACAGGTAGAGCTTTATGCAGATTATGATCTGAAAATGCTACTTCCTTTTCTCCGGAGCAGCCAACATTACACCCTTGAGAAGGTTTGAACAGTCAATAAACTGTCAATTATGATTTTTTTAACTCAATGGATGGTGAATTCTTCCTGTAGTTATTTACAAATAAATTGATCAGAACTCTTTACATCTCAGGCATATGACATTTGTGTTAAAAGAGATCTTTTAAGAGAGCAAGTCTTCATACTTGGAAGAATGGGAAACTCAAAAAAGGCCCTAGCTGTCATCATAAACAAATTAGGGGATATTGAAGAGGTATTTATCGTATTTGGTTGAAACATCAGATGTTCTTTTGTTTGTTTGTTCGTTCTTTTTGGAGTATTGGCAGAAATAAGAAAAGCATTATTGTGGGTGCAGGCTGTAGAATTTGTAACTATGCAGCATGATGATGATCTTTGGGAAGAATTAATTAAGCAATGTCTTCACAAACCTGAAATGGTACGTGTAAGACTTGTTCTATTGATTGCTGGTGTTCACACATCTTGTCGTTTAACATATCTATGTCTGTTGAGCTCTTTTCTGCAACTTGGCAGGTGGGGGTATTGTTGGAGCACACTGTTGGCAATCTTGATCCTCTATACATTGTAAATATGGTGCCCAATGGCTTGGAAATACCTCGGTTAGTGTGCCTGTTTAATTGCTTATTCATATCCTCAACTGCTCTTAAATGAAAGTTTTGTAATCTAGTTGTTTTGAAAAACACAAGGACAATGTTTAACTTCAATGCAATCCAATGTATTTGAAAGTAAATTACCTATGGATTAGAATCCAGGAGGTTAGTTTGCAAATAACCTTATTGGGAAGGTACAAGAAGGGGTACATCACAAGGACAACGTTTAACTGCACTGTAGTCCAAGGTATTTGGAAGTAAATTACCATGGCTTAGAATCCATGAGGTTGGTTTGCAAATAACCTTATTGGAAAGGTACAAGGAAGGGTATGGCTGAAGCCTGAATTTTGTTTGTCTGAAATCGGTCACCAAAAAAAGATTTGATTGAAGGCATTATACATGACTAAACCTGCAAACACATGATCTCCATGTCTACCACCGAACACCGATTCCCGTTGATCCCCATAATGAAATCCAATATGAAATAGCCTGCCCCAATTTAGTCAGTTTTCTACATAGAATTTTAAGGAACTATAGTCCTAATCCAATTAAATGCTTTCTATTCTCATCCCTTTTGGATGCAAAATTCCTTATTATTTGATCCGTGTTACATATAAAATAGCCTAGATACTTTCTAGAGCTGCATAGTTTTTATTTAGCATTAAGCACCAACTTCTGAGCCAACTACCAAAAAGTTGTATATTTGCTCATCATGTTTGATGGTAGAATAACTTCCTATTAGCTTCGTTGTATCCTGTTTTGGTATGGAAATGCTAATTAGATTATGCGTCAAGATGACACTGTTGGGTGTGTAATTGCAAACTTGATACAATGCTGCTTTCAGGCTTAGGGATCGTCTCGTCAAAATTATCACTGATTACAGAACTGAAACGTCTCTGAGACATGGGTGCAATGATATTCTTAAGGTATCATGCTTCATGTGCCCTTCATCTTCATCTGAAATAGAAAACAATTTTTGCTTCTTGCTAACATTCTGATGCTGTTTTGAGACATACAGGCTGATTGTGTAAATCTCTTGGTCAAATGCTACAAAGAAGCGAGACGGGCTATTTGCTTAACCAACGAAGAAGAAGATGCTCGAGTGAAAAGGGATGGCAGTAGGGATTCTCAAGCAGTTGGGAGAACAGTAAGTTCAAGAACCATGGAGGTTAAGTCAAAGACTAGGGGAGACACAAGATGTTGCATGTGTTTTGATCCCCTCTCTATACGAGATGTATCAGTTGTCGTATTCTTTTGCTGTCATGCTTATCACATGTCTTGTCTTATGGATTCTATGCCTACTGTTAGTGGCAAAAAAGGGAGTGGAGCCACTTCCCGGATGTCAGAATATGACTTTGATAGCAATGACGAGGATGACGGTGAGGAAACCGATTCTGGTGTTCCTCGGTTGAGATGTATCTTATGTACTACTGCAGCTAGTTGAGATAGTGATGTGTGCCCTATACCTCTTCTTTTCTTCTCTATTTTTCCCCTCCGGGTGTGTGGTGGTTATTCTGAGAGTCTTAGCTTTATTTTTTGAGGCGGTCATTTCTTGTTTTATTTTTCTTGTTCATATAGATCATATGTTGTGCTATTTATCAATTGTTCATTTTTGGCAGAGCTTCGTTTGTCAGTTGTATCATATGCATCATAATATATTGGAAAAGGCTAAATTATTATTTTTTATGGCCGTTTTGTGGAGATTTGGATGTATACACCTTTGCTGCTGCTTTTTCAAGTACATCATTCAATTTATATAAAGAACTGAAATTGGATAAATCCATTGACTCTTTAAGTTTTCATTGACAATCTTGCTCCGTTCTGTTTGAAAATATTATTCTCTTCGTTTTATGTAACCTCCGAATTGTTGGTGGGATTTGTGGCGTGGGCAGGGGAAATTGTTTGAGACCTAACGAAGACTTCTATTTATTTATTTATTTATTTTTCAAATGTTCTGGTTGTAGGAAATGAGGAAGTTTCTGATTGTCACCATAAAAAAATGAATTAACTAAATTTCTCAGAAGTCTCTAACCTGATAAGGTGCTTGCTGGTCATGCTAAGTGTTTTTGAAAAAAAAGGAGAAAAAAAAAAGTAACCCTATTCTTAACCTAGGTTAAAATTAAAAAATTGATCTGAGTGGTTCTTTTAATTTGAGTAATATTTATATTTATTTGGTTATTAGGTAGATAAAGTTAGATCCTAGTTTATTAAATTTTTCATAAAAAAAAAAAAAACTTTTGACATGTTATTTACTTTGAGTTTGCTATTTTTATTGTTGTGTGTTAGCACTAATTTGGTTCATTGGCAAACATTACTTCCAAATTACTGGATTATAATAATTTAAAATTCATACTATCAATTTAGATTATTTAGACTCCAAATTATTATTTTTTGAGCACATATTATCTCTTTTCTACTATTTTTAATGGTCAAAATGTTGATCGTTAATCGAAACATGGTTTAATGATAAAATTTACCTCCAAACTATTAGGATTATGATAAAATAAGATTTATATTATCAATTTGAGCTATTTAAATCTTAAACTATTAGTTTCTTGTCAAATTTTATCTTTCTCCATTATTTCTAACATTCAAAGTGTAGATCGTTAACTGAAATTTACCTCTTAATTCAAATTTGTTACGGCCTTGCATATAGTTTTATAAAATGTCTCTCACATAGTATTTGTAGATGCGATCATACTTCAAATTGATCTTAAAAAAACCTTGCAAAACTTTAGTGGTCCAATCTTCATGAAGTTATCAAAGGTTGCCTCATCCACCACTTTTAACTCTTTCAATCCAACATTACAATCCACCAAATTAGTAGCATTCACTACCCTCCAGTAACCACTTCTTGTACAACTCACCATTATGGTTTTTTTTTTTTTTTTTTTTTTTTTTTTTTTTTCAATTTGCATAAATGTGTTGTGCATAGTTTCTATGTTCAAAATTTGGCTTGTATTCATTGACAACATTCTGTAGTTTTTGTAATCATAAGTAAACAATCATTTCGATGACAAAAAAGGTAAATGATTTTAAACTTATAAATATTAAATTAGTGACTTAAACGAGAGATAGTGCTTGAACTTGTCTTTTGTTGGTTGCTTATTACTCGTCCAAGAATTTTCATCAATGATGCCAAGATCCTTTGTAAGCAAATCCATAAACCATCTCCGAGTTCTCTCCATTTTCACTATCCACGATAGCCCATGCTATGGAAAACATTTGCTCATTGGTATCCTTCCCTACTCGCATTTAATAAACAACCTCTCAAAAATGTTTTTAAAAAAGTACCATCAAAACCAAACACTATCCTACAATTACCCAAAAAACTATTACTTAATGCTTCAATATAGAATCTTCTAAACTCAAAATTATCACATTTCATAGGTTCAAAATAGACCTAGTCGCCTTCTTCAACTTAAGAATATACGATCTCAATCTTGCATAATGCTTATTGAGAGACCCTCTCAACATCTCTAAAACCAAATTTCTAACCTTATAATACATCCGAATATTGACGAGTTAATGCATCCCTCTCATTAACAACATCTTATAGTTACTTTGTTGGCCAATTAAGATTGTTCCAAAACTTATGAATATATGTTTCGTCTAGCCATAAATGAGAAGCAAACCTATTTGTCAATGATCTTTCACATTTATGGTCAACATCAATAAACTTCACTTTGAAAGCGTGCTCAATCGCTTCTTACTTGCATACATTCTCCATCCATAATCTTGTACACATTTAGCTTTTATAACTCTCTTTGAACTCCTTACTTAAGTCAAATCTCTTCCATTTTCAATATCATATAATTACATAACTCGTTTAAATTGTTTTTCATTTATGAATTTCATTCCAGCCTTGAACACTAAGTCTTTATGGTTACACGTGAGATCATAAATTATCTTTTTTTTTCTCCTTTTTACTTCTTTTATAGGTAAATATATCATCTTCATCACTTTCAAGAATGATGATCTCGCTCATCCTTCTTCGTTATCGTATTCATTTATGTAACCTACTTTAGTAGATTGAGGTATATTGAGCTCTACCGATTCATTAGTTCTTCAATTAATGGGATAAGAATCACACATTCATCATTAAACTAAAGTCCATAACCACTCTTCTTCCTTATGCTCCTACTTTGCTTTCTAGCCTCAATTAGTTTTTCATCCATAGAACTTTCAGAATCATCATCACTAAAACTACTATAATTCTGTGGTTTCTCAATTGGTAAGTAGTCATCATCATCATCATTATTACCATTATTCTCATTATCATCATCACCTATATCTTTTACATTCTATTCATTGTCATCATCATCAATATTCTGTTCATGATCATGATCAACAACATTCTATTCATGATCATCATCGGTAATATTTTGTTTATTATCATCATCATCTACTTCTCTACCATTTTCCATATCAACCGTAGTAGCTACATTTTCACCTAAACTATTATGACCTTCAATTTCCTCTTCTACCTCAACATACACATCAATAGACCTACATTAACATGCAACACTTAACATCATCATAAAAACCTCACCCTTATTTATAATTAATCCTCCCTCACTTAGACTTAAATTAGGTTTAAATATCATAACCCTAGGTATCTTTTATCCATATTCGGTAACCATATTATGAAGGTGTTTTAATGTCATGTATTTAGGATCTTCCGACCACTTACATTATCCAATCATAACCTTGCCAACTTAAGTAATTTGATTCGAGTACGTTAAATACTCCACCAATATGAAAATTCAACTTAAATGTCTTAGCCATCTTATGGACGAAACACTAAAAGAACAAACAAATTATAATAAACTCGTAGATACAGATTTAATATAATAAAAAATATTTACACTAATTCACGTGTGGGTAATGTAGGGATGGGTTTTGATCCATCACAATGTAATTGAAGAATCTACACGGGCAAAAAAGGCACCAAAATCAACAATCATCAAAATAGACATAAATGAGAAAACCAATAAAAAATGAAATTAAAACAGGTATAGATAGAGAGGGGGCCTTATAGTTAAAGATTTATAGGGTAGTGGGTACTTATTAATGATTCATGGGTATTGCAAGGAGTGGAGGATGAAGGTCGTACTAGAAATTTTAGGTTTAATGGAATCAAATAAATTGCTAGATTTGATGAAGGAAAATGGTTTGGTTCTCGACCAAGTGAACTTACGGTATTTTTATAGACACTCTTTGTACATAAAAACGGATGAAGAAAATTTGTGATTTATTCAATTCACTCAAGAAGAAAGGTATAAAAGCAAATAAAGTCATATACACTCGTGTTGATTCATGGACATTGTAAAACTGGGAAACTAGATAAGAAAAATCATAAAAATGAGAAAAAAACGGATAGAGATAGAGAGAAAAGGAACCTTATAGTTGAAGATTTGTGAGGGAATGGGTACTTGTTAAAGAATTATGGGTTTTTTTCGAGGTATGCAAATGCACGTGTGGATTTTGGTTTGGGAATTTTATAAGGAGAAAAAAGAATTATTGAAAAAAAGAAGAAGATTAGTGTTCTTATTCATCGTGTAAAAATAAGAGAAGAAGATTGGAGTTCTTGTTCGTCGGGTGAAGAAGAAAAAAATTAGGGATTTGGATTGGCTTGTTTGTCGATTGGGTAGAGAGAGAAGAGAAAAATTAGGGATCGTGTTTTTTTAAGAATTAAATTGAATTAGGTTAGTTTTAAGAATTGGTTTTGAATAAGTGGATGGGTGACATGTTGTCCATCATAAATGAATTATAATTATTATCTATGTGTCATCCTATGTGGACTTTTATCCGAGGTGTCATCTTACATGTCATGCCACATCGGATGAACTCGAATCTTGGATGAAAAATGACTCTAGTGCTAAAATTGTTGTTAGAAACACGAGTTCATATATTTTCCATATACTTTTGAAAGAACTTGCTAAAAAAAATTAGAAGGTGTATAGCTTGTTCTTTTATGATATAATAAGTGTTACAATAATTGATGCTCATATTCATATTTAGGACATAAAATATAATATTTAAAGTTAGGAAATTTTAGTATGTTTGACTTAGACCTTCTACGTTGTAAGTTTTCGGTAGCTTTAATGAAAGAATTAGAAGAAGTAGTCTTCGAGATATCTTGTAGAGGACATCTCAATCTTTGCGGAATGGTATGAAAGGTTAAAATATAAGTTTGTTTAGGCCTTTAAATGATATTTCATAATTTGGTTAGAAAATTTGATCCGAATCCTACTTGGAGTTCCATACTAGTTATGGATTTTATTTCATATCTAAAGTTTCGGACCTCCAATTGGTGTAAGGCCAAGCCCATAGAAGTTTTTGGAAGCATATCTACAATTCTTATAAGGGACTAAGTCCAAGCTAGGTTGGTTTGAAGAAGTAATTTAGCTATATAGTTGAATTCTTAAGTCTAGGTGGATC